CACCCATCTCCCATGAAAGAGTTGTTCTGGAATTTGGCTACACAGTTGTCAGTGCGTAAGGACCAGAGTAGGGGGCTGGGTAACATCAAAGTACAATTGTTGAGGATTATGGTGGAGGAGGTGTTGTTGCCTATTCTCAATGATTGCGGTCTATGTGTCAGGAAGTCAAAGATCCAGTTAAAGAGTGGACAGCCAAGACCAAGGTCTCAGAGTTTAGAGATGAGTTTGTTGGGGTTATGGCGTTGAAGGCGGAACTGTAGTCAATAAGTAGGAGTCTGGTGTAGGATCCTTGTTATCCAGATGTTCCAGGGATAAGCACGGGGTCAGGGAGATGGCATCTGCCGTGGACCTATTGTGACGGTAGGCAAATTGTGAAAGATCAAGGCAATCTAATAGACTGGATTTGATTTGAGCCATGACTAACCTCTTGAAGCACTTCAAACTTATGACGTTCAGAGCCACTGGGCAGTGGTCATTGAAGCATGCTGTATGGTTTTTCTTTGGCACCAGGAGGATAGTGGTTTACGTGAAGCAGGTGGAGACTTCAAATCGTAGTAAGTTAAAATGGCAGCGAATATTCCCACCAGCTGGTCCATACAGGGACTCCATCTGGGCCAATCACTTTCAATGGGTTCTCTGTCAACCCCCTGTGGGGTGGCACGGTGGCTCAGTGGTTAGCACTTTTGCCTCACAGCACTAGGTACCCAGGTTTGATTCCAACCTCGGGCGACTGTCTGTGTGGAGTTTGCACATTCTCCCTGTGTCTGCGTGGGTTTCCTTTGGGTGCTCCGGTTTCCTCCCACAGTCTAAAGATGCCCAGGCTGGGTGGATTGGCCATGCTTAAATTTCACATTGTGTTCTGGGATGTGTAGATTAGGGGGATGGGTCTGGGTGGGATGCTCCAAGTGTTGGTGTGGACTCGTTGGGCCGAAGGGCCTGTTTCGACGCTGTTGGGATTCTATGAAAGTAGATCTAATGTCTGCATGGTTACCATGGGTACAGGTGAATCCGAGGCTGTTGGGATAGGTGACAATTTTTTACTGACCATCTGTTCAAAGTGAATGTAGAATGCATTGAGCTCATTGGGTAGGGATGTACTGTTGCCCATGATTCTTTTTGACTTTGCCTTGTAGCCCCTTATTTCATCTAAGCCTTGCCACAAACAACAGGTGTTCATGTAGTTGGCCTGAGTCTCAAGTTTGGTGTTGCCTCTTGGCCTTCCGAAGGTCATATCTGGATTTCCTGTATAAGTCAGGGTCACCGGACTTGTATGCCTCAGACCTCCACTTCAGGAAGGTCTCGATCTCTCACATGGTTTCCAGTTGGGGAACATTCGGATTAACTTCTTCAGCACACAGTCTTCTATACACTTACTAACAAAGTCTGTAACAGTAGTGGCATTCTCATTCAGGGTGGCTGCAAAGTTTTTGAATATGGACCAGTCCACTGACTCTAAGCAGAACTCCTGCAGAAGTCCACCTTTCGCCTCAGACACACACTGCACTACTTTCTGTATTCAGTCCCCATGCTTCAGTTTCTGCTTTCTAAGCCAGGTGGAGGAACACATTGTTGTGATCCGATCTTCCAAAATGCGGATGGTAGGACAGAGCGGTAGGCGTCTTTGATGGTTGTATAGCAATGGTCAAGCATTTTGGAACAGGAGATGTGTTGATGGTATTTTGGTAGCTCCCTCTTGAGGTTGGCCCGGTTGAAGTCAACGGTTACAATGAACAGGGTATTCTGTCTCAAGACTGTTTGTAGCGTTGTATACTTAATCAAGTGCACTCTTCACTTCCGCACGGGGTGGGGTGTAAACTGCTAGCAAGACAGCAGAGATGAATTCACACAGCACATAGTAGGGATTTTGTTTACCGTTAGATATTCTAGGTCCAGACAACAGTACCTCACCAGGGTCACCACATCTGAGCACCAGAAGGTGTTGACTAAGAAGCAGACCCCACCGCCCCTTGCCTTGCCCGAGGATGCCAAGTAGTCCTTTTGGAGACAGGTGTTGCAGGAGTGAGCCATGTCTCAGTAAAACAAAGCACACTGCAGTCGCTCAATTCCCTTTGGAAAGTCAGTCTAGCTTTAAGGTCATCCATTTTGTTCTGAGTAGCTTGGGCATTTGCCAGGAGTATACAGGGGAGAGGAACTAGTCTCTCCTGAACTCCAGTGCATCTCCCATGTTTCCTGGGTAGGTGGTTGCTCATAGTCGATCCCTGGCATCGGTGCGGGAAGTCTGCTGCTCCAGATGTTAAGTGCCTGCTCCTGATGAGGTCCTGAGCACCAATCTCAGCCTTGAGCATTCCAGAAGGGTCTAGCGGTCGGGCCTCCTGGGTGTCAGGTCTCCATGGGGTCAAGTCTTGTTCCCGCACTGGTCAAGCTTCAGCTCTGGGTTTTGCACGAGGAGATCAGACTTGTGAAAAGCCCACAGGCCCCTAATTCCCCTCACCATGTGGTTCCAGTGTTGGCAGCCAAGCCTCAAAGGTCATAGACTCTATAAACCTGAAAGTAGATTTAAGACCTACCCCTTGGCTTTTCAGTGTTTCCCACCAATGACAAGTGCCTGCCTCTCCCTCTACAAGACACGGTGACTGGCAGTATGTAATTTAACATTGAAAACCCTGTGTGCTTAAAAAGCAATGCAAGCCACATGGATATTAGGGACAGGCAATGAATGCTGGCCCATCCAGAGACGCCACATCTCATGAGTGAATTTATTGTTAAAATTCTGAGATTGGCTAAAACACCAAGAGCATGAAGAACGTAGGGTTAAGAGCAGGAGTAGGCCATTCATCTCCTCGATCTCATTCTACCCTCCAATAGGATAATGGTTGATCTCATCTCAGCTTCAACTCCACTTTCCTGCCCGCTCCCCATAATCCTTCAACCCATTATTACTTAATAATCTGTCCCTCTCCATTAACTCACTCAATGTCCCAGCATGCACCACACTCTGGGATAGCAAATTCCACAGATTTACGGCCCTTTGGGAGGGGTAAATTCCTCCTCATCTCCGTGTTTTATCTGCCACCCCTTATCAAGATTGCCCCACATGAGAAAATACCTTCACTATATCTATTTTGCCAATCCACTTTATTATGTGCTTCAATGAGATGCATTCCATTTGGCTGCATGAAAGGGTGGCATGGTGGCTCAGTGGTTAGCACGGCTGCCTCACGGCGTCAGGGACCCAGGTTTGATTCCACCCTCAGGTGACTGTGTGTTCAGCGTTTGCATATTCTCCCTGTGTCTGCGTGGGTTTTCTCTGGGGGCTCTGGTTTCCTATCAAATATGTGTAGGTTAGGTGGTTTGGCCATGAGGAAAATTAGAGATTACAGGGAGAGTGTAGCGGGCTGGGTCTGGGTGGGAAGGTCTTTGCAGGGTCAGTGTGGACTCAGTGGGCCAAATGGCGTGCTTCCACACAGTAGGGATTCAATGAAATACATTTGTGCCCTTGACAAATGTGTGCAAAATGACCGAGCAGAAGGATGCAAGTCCTGGGTATCACTGGCAACAAGGTGCAGGGCTGGATGAACACAGCAGGCCAAGCAGCATCATAGGAGCAGAGAGGCTGACGTTTCGGGCCTAGACCCTTTCA